TCAGACACACTTACCCTAGGATGGGATTATTGCTTAAAGATGATAATATTGTAGAATAATCCTTTTATAAGAATTCTTTTATAAAAAGCCATTTTTAGAAAAAAACCTTAAGAAAGCTGCAGGTATAAACCTTTATTTCAGCTGTAGAAACTGATACTTTAAGCTTTAGAGTCTGTAATTCCATATAATATCAAAATTGATTCATGCCTGTGGTTTGAAATAGTTTTTCATACAAAGACATTAATTTAAATTTTTTCTTATTATTTAGAAGTAAAGAATGCAGCTAGATCAAGTTACCCAAAATGTTCGTATCAATTCAAGAATGCAACTACTAATGCATTGGTTGGTGCCAAGTCCACTGAAGGAATCCCGGAACCTGTTCCACTTGTTAATAACCGTAAAGGGAGCCTCTTCCTACCCAACAACCCCTCGCTGCTGCACCTTAACTTATTGAGTTCTGTTGAACAAGGAAAATCTACGTACTGTAGATTGCAAAGGGCTCTCAGCTTGCCTGTAAAATACCGCTACCACTCCCAAAAGCCTGGGTTGAACCAAGATCTCCGTAGGTAGCCCCGTAGTTGGATGCATAAGGCAATACCGATCGGTTTGTGCATGGTTTGGCAGTCTGTTTTCAATGCGACTATGACATTACTAATGCTCTGTTAAGTGCTTACAGATGTGGGTTTCTCCAGATGTGGTGATTAATAAGTTAATCAAGATAGCTAGTCAACTAATGTTTCTGGGTGGTTTGTGCTTTACCTTTCATATGGTTTATTCGCTCTGAAGCTTTTACATGCTAGGCAGAATGAGTTTACCAGGTATTCCAGTTCGTGTGATGTTCAGTAACACAGATGTTATTTCAAATTCCAGCTCTTTTTGGGGTCTAAGAGACAGTGTCTGTAAACTGTTCTGCTAGTGACCTGGGAGAGGCAGTGAAGGAGACAGATTTATTTAAAAAATAGTAACAAAATAACAAAGAAAAAAGTTATGAACTTGTCTACTGTTTCTGAAAGACATTCCCTTTATTTTGCTTAAAAAATGAAATGAGGATAAAAGTCAAGTAATATATTGTTACAGATGTTCAGCTCCACATTAAGGCTGTTAAAATTACCAGCACATCTTAAATCAATTCATGGAACATTGTCTGGAGGTTATGTCATTGAAATAATGAATCCTCTTTACTCAAGAATAAGCAAACATGTTAAAACATCGGTGTAACTTTAATTTAAACTCCAGCATAAACCGGAGCATCTGAAGCCTCATTAGACTTGCCTGACATTTTTCTAGCACTGAGTCTTCCTGAACTGCAAAACTGTTAGATTCTCTGCCTATTAGACAAGTGAGCACTGGGTTGTTACAACAGCACATTAAGTGTTATACTTAGGGATGTGCAAACAAGCTCTTGAATTTTAGTAGAACTCAGAGGCTGGATTGAGTTCCGATTCTATAAAATTCTGTGTCCAATTCTTGAACTTAGTTGCAATTTTCATGAAAGCTTGTAAAGGAAGTCTGCATAATATAATATGACTGTATTTTAATACAAATCCTGTAGCACGAAGACATCAAAAATACTAAAAATGGGGACACATTCTCATTAACAAAAGCGCTAGGTCAAACATACAACATCAGAGTTGAGTTGTCATATATCACAGCCCATTATTCAAATACGGTTGTCTTTCGTAAGAACAAGCAAATTTAAGACTCCCTTTTAAATTAATGCAGACACAGGAACCATGAAACTAAAATGATATTTTATGGCTTTACTAAAAATTTTGCTAGATCTATTTCTTTAAATATGCAGGAAATTGATAAGAGTATCTGAAGGATAATAATTAAAAATGTTTTATATCCTACTTCCTACTAAGAAGCCACTCGTGAGTTACCATTGCAACATTTTTGGGAACCAAGCCATAGGTAATGGTGTCCATTATATACCATCCACATATTTCAGTTTCATGGATTCCTTTCCCCCATTCTTACGCAGCTGCGTTTTTAAACGGCAGACGCCCTGTAAACTCTGCGCAGGGATTTCACTGAAAAACAAACTCTTGTTTGGATGTGGTATGATTAAGATAGATCACCTTTCATTGCTGCAATGAGAATAAATGGCTTCCTTGCTTAAGCAAGGCATTGCTTTAGCAACAAATTGAGATCCCTCAGAAGGCTTTGCTAATAGGTATTAACTAGTGAGCCACATTAACCTTGGACTTTCCAGGGAATTGGTGACAGTAACACAGTTTGAATATGACAAGCTCATATCCAAAGAGGGAGCTTATTTATTGTAGATGCAGTACCAAAAATAACTGCAGACTGCTAGAAATCTAGTTCTAGAAATGGTTATTCTGGATGATGACTAGTAAGACTTTGGACAGCAGGGTAGCATCACCTGGCAGCACCGGAGAACACAAATGATGGACCATATAGTACAAAAGATCTTTAATTGGACAGCAGGGTAGCATCACCTGGCAGCACTGGAGAACAGAAATGTTGGACCATGTAGTACAAAAGATCCTTATTTTACTAACTTTCAGTATTTGAAAGGATCAGACAGGAGTCTTATTAGCTAGCCAAAAACTTGGAAAAGTACTCTTTTTTAATAGTTTTCTATTGTTCATAGCAATATTTCCAGCTATAATATGATCTACAGTTGACTTGTGTTAATGTAAGATTTTGCACATGGTCCTGATGGCTATGTATCTTCCTTAAACTGTTAAAATAGTATAACAATACACTGATGGTGCAATACTGAATCTCTTGACAAACGTTCTGTAGCCCCATGCTGGCAGATTAAATTAAGTGAAATTCAGAATTTTTACTACCAAGAGAGCAAAACGTATCAGTTTTGCTGGTTTCTGGAAGGAACATTTTGCATGGTTCTTGTTCCTTTGATCTTTTAAGTGGTGGATTCATCAGACTGGAACTGAATATTTATATCCCATAAAGAACAAGAGAGCACAGTGTATATCTTGAAAGCAACCTATTGTCTGTGTGGAATAGCATGTGAATAACTTTTTGATAGACAAGTTTAAAACAAGACTAGGCCATTTCCAAGAGAGCGATTTGTAGAGGGTGTTCTGAAATGCACAAGTACTTGCACTTTGTTATCATCAGAAATAGAAAGATATTCTAACAAAATAATTCTGTGCATATTCACTTCATGTTACAAATAGCTACATGCTGAAGTGATCTCGTTTAATCCGAACAAACTGTCACAGAAAGAAAATTTCAACTTGTATATTTCTGAGAATTTTCTATGGGCTTATTTATCTCTCAGCCAAACAAAGAATGGTACTTGACTAATCGTCAGTAAGCATTTCTACTATAGGACTCTGACTTGGAAAAGAAGAAAAGTCAAATGATAAGGGAATGGCTTTGTCTTTGGGGATGCTGCCCAAGAAGAAAAAAAAGCTTAGCTAAATAAATCACTATTAGACAGTCATTGCTCTGATCTAGGTATTACCTTTTACACCACTCTTTGGGGCATTTGTTTGGGGGTTAGCTTTTTTTTTTCTTTTTTTTTGGTTTTTCTTTTGCAGTGCTTTCTTTTGTTTTGATTCCCTTGATGTGTTAGGTGATGCCAGCTCCTTTAAAAAGACAGGACATCTGTCTTTTCAGGTCCCAGTCCTTCGGTCCTGACCAAGGCAAAATGAAGTTCCGTAGCAGACTTGGGCAAACAGACAGACATGACAGGCTAGAATGCAGTCTGTAAGAAAATAGTGTCAGAAGAGGGTTATAGCAGAAGGATATTGCTTAATTTCTTCCCAGTTAAGTCTAGGGCACGTGACATATATCCAGGTTTTGTTGTTCCTACGTAGCTCATTGCGAAAAGAATTTTTTTTCCCAGCCTCTGCTTGTGCACTGCTAATGTGTATTAAGCTCTTTTAATATAGCTGCTGCTGCTGCTGCTGCTACTACTACTACTACTAATCTCTTTCCTTTTAGCTTTAAAGTAACAGCTTCCTAGGCATCAGTTATATTATCTTCTAGTTCGTTTTTCAGTTAACAGTAGGATGGGGAAAAAAGTGTATTTTTCCTTTTTTATATTAGAATAATTCAGCATTAGTGTGAATTTGAGAAAGCAGGCATAAGATAATTCCCTTTGATAGCACATGTAAACCTTATGCGCAGATTATCAAGTGCAGTAACAATCTTGAAACAGTAATGATGATGGTTAATTCTTCTAGATGAGTTATTAGGAAGCTGCACTTGTTTAAGCAATACGTATTGTGACATAGGTTATCCAAGAGTAGTTGACGATTGGCAAAACCGTAAGTGATTTTACATCTGGAAATCGAGCTGTCATTGAAAGTGCACCTCATCCTCATTAAAAGATTGCATAACACATGCATCCTCTGTTATACAGGTATTGTCTCCCCACTTCCATTCAACCTCATTCTGTTCACTCCTGTTAAAACTCCCTTTTGTGAGAAGGGTAGAGCGATGAGGTCTGACTTGTGCTGGAGATCTGTGCACAATGGCAGGCTGCGTTCACGTTCCCGACTAACTGAATCATTGAACATCAAGGCATTGAATATTTTACATCTCTTCATGAAGACTCTGTTGTTTGGCATGTGAGGAGCAAGAACCAACTGGTGTCTAGTTCATTAGCAAAAGCAGGCTGGCAGCTGTTATGTTGGTATTGCAAATAGTACTTTATCTTTCTGGGAATATAGCAGAGCACTAATTCTACTTTTCTGTAGCGCAGATTAACTGAAAATAACTCTAAGAATAACCCGAATGTGGTTCCCCCCCCACTCTGTTTTTGAAGTATGAAACCAATTTGAACGCCTGTGTTCAAAACCCTGGTATTCTTCCCTGCTTCTCCTTCAAACCAATCTCTTCGACTAACATGTATTTGATTTTTATTACTGTTGGGCCTATGTTAGCAATGAAGTATCAGTGCGTGAATGGACATAGAGTGTGTGTTCTTTGCTACTTCACTTGTATTTCGTATTGCACTTAGAGCAGTACTTAATCTCATGAGTTCCTTATATTTCCAGTTGAAGATGAGCAGCCGTCGACACTATCACCCAAAAAAAAGCAGCGAAATGGAGGCATGCGAAATTCACCCAACTCCTCACCCAAACTGATGAGGTAAGACTGTAAGAAACTCATATCTTCATCTCCTTTCTCCCTTCCTTCCTCTTCTCCTCCCCCCACATCAAAAATAAGGGGAGGGGTGGAAAAAAAAGATTGTTAGATGGTTTCTGAAAGGCTGAAGTATTTATTCTGTCAGCTTGTCAGCAGTTAATGATAGAGCTGAAAAAAATTCTGTCATGAAAAACAGTTTGAAAAGCTGTTTGAAAAATACATAGGCTTTAAAGTCTTAGCTGTCACCCTGTCCTGTCCGTGTGTAGTTCTTAAACAGCAGTGGCACTAATGATAGCACTAACCAATCAGGGGAACTCATGTGGTTAGTTTGCCTCAGGCAATTCTCTTTTTGTTGGATTCCCTCTGAGTACTGTTTTCTGTACTTAAGGCCATATGTGAGATGTATCATCACAATCAAAAATGAACCTGAATATTACCTTCCTTTTATCCTGTCGATTGAAATCAAATTTCTGTTAATTGATTTGGACTGATAAAAAAGTCTAATAATCTATGTACTTGCCAAAGCAAAGTTCAAAACTAATGCAGATTTACTCAGGCTAAAAGCACATTAATTATGGAATACAGGGATTTTTTAAAAGGGTAGTATATACTCTGAAAGCAGGTGATGAAAACATCATCTTGTTAGTGATATTTTTCCCCTGTTGCTATGTGTACATTATTTTACAGCGGTCCGCCTTTGCGTAACTATGTAGTTTCCTTCCGTAGGACAAATTACCTCTAAGAGATTTGTTAAAACTGGAACTGCAACAAGAAATTGGAATCTATTAAGATAATACGGCATTTGCATTCTGTCTCACCGTGCATCACCTTTTGCCTGCTCAAGTCAGTCAGAACAGGATCAGATAGCGGACGTGGAGTTTTCTACAAGGAGACTGTTCCTGCTCTGGTTTTGCATATCTAAAGTAGCCAGGCTAGAACCTCAGTCCATAATTGTATCCAGAACTAAATACCATAGCAGAGATTTTCCACTGCATATATATATACACGCACACAGAAAAATGTAAACTTATTTACATATATAAACAGACACATTCGTGCAGTTTGGGGGTTTGGGTGTATGTATAACTGTAACTGCTCTGCAGTCACAGAGGTTAAGTGAAAAAAATGAATACAAATATATAGTTTTTTCCATATATAAAATCACTCGTAGCTTTTATTGTTGACAATGATTTTGCTCCTTTAACAATTCTGGATACAGCTAGGTAATATTCCTCTTTGTATTTCAGTCAGTAGACTGGAATTTTGTTTGGCCAGTTACAGAAGCATCCATATTTGTTTATTGTTACTGCAATATAGGGCATATTCAAGGACGTAACTTCTACAAGTTGTCTTCATCTCTGTTTAGACTACAGAACCAAAAGTGAGATTGATTCACAGAGGAAAATGCATCCAGCTGTGGCTTTTTTTTCCTATTGACCATCTATTTCTGTTAAATGTGTCATTAAAAGTTCTCTGCCTTCCTGTTAGCTCAGCCTTGCCCATATGACACTGATTTACATGCTTGTTTACAGTTTATGAGGAAGAATAAAATGAACATACTGGCAAGCTTCTCATTTTTATGATGCCAGTTGTCATGCTACATCATTTTCAATTTACTTACCTTTGGACGGTCTTCTTATCTGGTGCTAATAGTTTTAACCACTTAAAGTTTTAAACACGTGGGAGATTCCCCCCCCCTCACTAATTTTGGGGAAGTAGAAATGAAAAGAAAGAGAGGGAGAGAGAGAGAAAGAGCTGAAACATTTGGAGCTGAGCACACTGTCCCTGTTTGCTATGTAAAGTATGCCTCATTTCTTTGATCTTGAGTAATAATAATTCTGGGGAGTTACACTGTTTTCATATGCTTCAAAGCTGTGTCAAAGTTTTGCTGCTTAAGGGTACTTCTTTATTCTATTGGCTCTTGGGTACTGAGATGACAGGTCCTCTGTACTAGGTGCAGGCTTTTTCAAGTCATAGCCTTCAGCAAAACATCAAATTACCAAATACAGGGTAACATACTTCTACACAAATGCCTTTCCTGTAGATATATTATACCATATATATTAAATACTTTAGTGTTACACGGTACATTTTATGTGCAATAGAAAGTGATGGTTTGAGGTAGCCTTAGGGGTACTTTTTTCCACAAGCAGAAAAAGCTAGTGTATACCGTATCAAGTATGGTTTTTACAGGACTTTCTGCCCGAAGGCCTTTGTAAATAAGTAATGATCAACAGATTGGCTGTGGGTTTTTGAAAAGCATGCCTGTGTCAGTTTGCATGATGGGGGAAGATTTTCAAAGTGGAGCCTGCTTTCATTGCCTGCTGAAGAGGGACTGAGGGAGAGTAGTCGTCCTGAGCCTGAGCTGTCTGCTCAGTAGCGCATCAGAATTGCTAAATACAGGTCGAGCGGCGAGTGGAGAACTTGCCAGGCTTCCAAATCCAGACATTGTTTTCCTCCTCTTCTCCCTTGCTGCTAAATTTATTCACCAGCCCTGTGTTGGCACCCTCGGCCTCTCCCCAGACCCAATGGCCTCTTTGTCTTACCCTTTATCTACACCGACTTAACTTTGGTTCAAGGTGCTAAATAAGAGAAAGTGGATTGAATCAGAAGAGAACTGTTAAGCTTTGTGTGTAACGGCCAAACGCTTTTCTCCTTTCCGATAAACAAAGGTGGGCTGTATTATCTGCTATTTTGTATCCTCATAAATTAGCTAACGTGACAGGTACTTGCTTTCCTGCCCAGAAATCTTTAGTGTATGTCAGCTAAAAGTACACAAGGGGTAAATCAGCTAAAGCACTGTCATGTCTGTAGCTGATATTGATCTTTGCAATATTTTTCCTAAATTTACTTTAAAAGCTCCTTTTCAAAGCCAGCTTCACCCCTGTCCCGCCCACAGAAACAGCTGGCTACTTTGCAGACTTTTCCTCAGCTACAGTCCTGGATCTAGAGGGGGCCTGGAGGACAAGAAGTCTGGAGCATGTAAAGGAGGAATATGTGAAAAGTTCATTTATAAATTGTAATCAGAGTCGTGACGTTCGAGTCACTTTCTGAGCAGCCCTACAGTTAAGATAACGTTGAAAATGCTGCGTAGATTTCAGATTTCCACAGTGGCTGGGGCAAATCAGGGAAGAGGGTATTATGCCATGAGATAAAACTTTATGACTTCTGCTGTCACTGGAGTAGAACAGAGGACAGAAGCTGTATCACAGGGATTCCCTGGGACATCATGACAAGAGGTCTGACAGGTGCTTATTTAGACCTGCTCCGAAAATGGGAATTTTTGAGATTTACTCACACATAAGTAGAAAGCTGTATTACCAAATATGATCCGGATAGATAGATTGAAGGCATCTTTTCAGTGTCATCTTTTTGATGTTATTGTCTCTAAGTGCCAATAAATTACTAGCTGAAATAAATAGATGGTAGGCATACAAATGTTCTTTGTATACATCACAAACGGTCTAGATTCACATTTAGAAAGTCACCGTTCTAACTGAATCCTGCATCACATCAAACGACATGAGCAGAATCACACTGATGCAACACAGGAAGAATCTAATCAGAAACAAATCCTTCAAATTCCAACTATAGCTACAAATGCAAATTAACTAGAAAAATATTCTGCATTGTCATGGCTGTTTCTATCTGTTTTACATCAAGAGAAGTCTGTCCCATTAAACCCACAAGAACGTGGGTATTATTTAAAAGTAACTTAATCTCCAACAGGAAAAAACGGATGCTTCTCCTGTGGAGATGTGAATGCAAAGAAATCCTATTCCAATAAAAAGTAAAATTAAAACAGGAAGTAGAAGGAAAAGAAAGGAAAGCTGTGAGTAGCAGAGTAATCGCATATCAGGTCTCCTTCTTCAGGAGACAGAGAAGAAAAGTAGAATCATTTGATCCCTCTGGTGTCGTGCAGCGATATCAAGTCACCTGTTCATCATCTCACAGTCACAGGTTTTGATGCATGTTATTGATGAACAGCCATGTTAAATATGAGGAGGCTATGTCGCCCGAATATCAAATAGCAAACCTAGTTTTAAAAAAAAGTGTCATTTTGGATTCCAGAATGACCAGTAAAAATGTGAAAAGCCCTGGATATGAATCAAAAAAGCCACTTAAAAGGATTGTTGCTGGGGCTCGAGTCCACGCTTAATGCTTTGGTAGCTGCTACTGCATGAGTGGAATACACTGACTTGAAGGAAATGTCAGCCCAGCTGAGTCAAACTACCTCTTAATGCAAGAACAAATAGCATATGACAGGGCCCAAGGGGCCTGAAGAGCAAACAAATAGTTTGTCCCTGTCCACTCTGAATGTGGTGGTGTAGTTGACATAGGCCTCTAGACAAGTAGCATACTCAGCAAAGGGTCATTATCATTAGTGTCCCTGATCACATAAGAATCAGAGGCATCAGAGGACACTGGGTTTTCGGCGTGTTGCCAAGGAGAATTTCATAAGCCTGAGGATTTTTCTTGATCAAGGATCTAAAATAATTCCCAAGCAAACGATAAAACTTGCTCAGAGACTGTCAAGACCCAGCTAAGTGACACGGAAAAAAAGTGAGCTTTTTGGCATGCGTTTCCGGAAACCTGATGAGATTATTTATCCGAAGTTGAGGGGGAAACGGCCTGTCTTTTTTGCTGAAGTTGGCTATAATATTCTAAGTATATGAACAATGGCTGTGCACATTTATCTTCTCATCCGCAAACCCAGCTACATACAGCTCAAATGTACACACACATTTCTGCTAGTGCCACGCAGGATTAATTTGTATCGCCCCTGCCATCGTAGTGCTGCCCTCCCATGAGCTGAAACTGTGAGCTTTCTCATAGGAACCAAAAAAAGTGATGGGAGGTCTAGAGGGGAAAATTTCTCAAGCAAAAACTGGTAAAATAAGTTCAATGTGATCATTTTCCATGACTCCCCTAAACCAGGCATGAAGGTAAGCTTTGAAGAGGTGAAAGCTCACTGAGTAACCATAATAATGGTTTATATTTAT